TCACTGGCTGAGCGAGGTGCGGGAGCAACACTGAGGGTTGCGATCCTGTTGCCGGTCCCAGACTGGTACAGGTGCGACACTGAGGGTTGCGATCCGTTGCCGGACACAAAAAAAGACAAAAAAGGAAAAAAAAAAAAAAAAGAAATTTGAAATCTTAGACAAAATATATACATTTCTAAGAAAAGAAAACTGCTAAAACTGATTCAAGAAATGAATATCTGAATGTTCCCATAACCTTTAAAGGAGTTAAATCACCAGTTAGAAATCTTCTCCCAAAGCAAACTCAAGGAAAAGTTTGGTTTAACAAGAGGACCCTATCAAACTTTCAAGAAACAAATAATTCTGATATTAACAAACTTTTTCAGAAAAGTGAAAAGGAGGAAATTTTGTCAAATATAATGGTTTTATAAATGCAAAACAATTTATGTAATTTATGTGTGATAGATAGCATAGTAATAAAATAAACGCCTGTGAGCACACCACCATTACTGTTGCCGCTGAGAGCTCCTTCTCTATCCTGTCCTACTTCCTCTTGCAGCGGTAAACAGCATCCTTAATTTTGTATTTCTAATAATAGATTTTGTAAAAATCGAGGTATTCTTTAAATTCAGTAAAATGCATAGATTCCTAATACATTTTGACAAATAACTACACATATGTAAATAAGATAAAGAAAAATTCCATTTCTGAATAATTCTCCCTCCTCCCACCAAGGCAATCAGAGTTCTTTACTTTTCTGATTTTTATCAGCATAGGTTAGTTTTGTCTGTACCTGACTTTTGTATTGGTGGACTTATGCAGTACAGTGTTCCTGTGTGTGTGTGTGTGTGTGTGTGTGTGTGTGTTTCTTTTACCATTCATCTATGTTGCATTCACAGTTCAGTGTATAAATAAACTACAGTGTGTTCATCTATTTTCCTGTTGATGGAATCTCAGGCTGTTTCCAGTTTGGAGTTGTTATGGCTAAAAATGATCTGAACATTCCCATACACAGCTTTCTTTGGACATATTGTAACATTATCTGAGTAAATATTTCAAGGTAGAATTACTGTATCAAGTAGGTGAAACTTCCATACAAGAAGCTGACAACATGTTTTCCAAACTGGTTGCACTGTTCTACAGTCACTAGATATTTATGAGTTTACTTGCTCTCCTTGCAGCAGGCACTCTGGATGTAGCCAGTCTTCTTATTTCGCCATTCTAATGTGTGGGAGGTGGTATCTCATCGGGGTTTTAATTGGCATTTTCATGATAAATAATAAGGTTGAACAGCTTTTCATGTACTTGAGTGACTTGGAAAAGTGAAATTTTCTGAAAGATGATTTTGCTTGTTTGGTGTGTAAATTTAAAAATTGATCCTGGGGCCGGCCCGGTGGTGCACTGCTACTGTGCACCACTTGGGAGTGCGGCGGCGCTCCCGCCGAGGGTTCGGATCCCACATACAGACCGNTGTTGTTGCAATTGGCACTTCAGTGTTTTGAAGATCCTGGGGGTCCTGCAAATAAGACACAAATATAACCCATTAGCTATACACAATTAAGCAATAATTATTACTGATTTAGGAGTTATCACAATAGCTATTTCCCAGTAAAAATGCTTTTCTTTGGAACTAAGTGAATTACACTTATTTAAATTTTCTTCACAACTATTATTAAATATGCATTTAAGAAAACACCCAGTGGGGCTGGCCCCGTGATTCACTAGGGAGAGTGTGGCGCTGGTCACGGTTTTGTATCCTATATAGGGATGGCCGGTGCGCTCACTGGCTGAGCGTGGTGCGGATGACACCGTGCCAAGGGTTGCAATCCCCTTACCGGTCAGAAAAAAAAAGAAAACACCCAGTGACCTGCCTGATCTCATGCTGCTCTATTTACCATTGCTTTCAGCCAAGTACAGAGCGTGGGGGGGAGTCTGGCAAGCAGCTCCATGCCTTCTTTTGTCTGGGTGTGGAGCAGTGCATGAGCCAGCCTTTGTCCTGTCAACACCAGCAGCTGAGAGGCAAGGACCTCTTTGTCATGAACCTGTAGAATGGCCTGGGGATATGAACATGGAAAAATAATACAGTCACAGATTTATTTATTCTGTAGAAAGGGGTTGCCAGTGAAGACATTCCAGTTCATTTTCAAGCTGTATACTGCCATGTATTTGTACAAAATCCAAACCAAACTTGGCATTTAAATCCTAATTTCTGCTTATTAGCTAATCTTTTTTCTTTCACCTAATATATCAAAATTCAGTATGATTACACAATGTGTTGTCTTCAAACTTTTGGCAAATGAAGGGAATTAGATTAGATTATATCATGACTGCTTAAAATCCTCAACTGGCTTCTGAATGCACTTAAAATAACCATGGGCTCTCAGGCTTCCTATGATCTGGCCCCTGACTCTCCCCACCTCATCTCATAATACTTTATCCCTTGCTTACTATGGTCAGCCACAGTGGCCTTTCTGGTCCTTTCCCTAGCCAAGCTGGTCCCCACCTCAGTTCCTCTATACTTTTTATTTCTGTCTTGAACACTGTTCCTCCAGTTTTCTGAGTGCCTTCTTATTTTGGGGGACTCAGTTCAAATGTTATCTTCTCTGACCACTCTATTTAGTAGCTCCTGTTTATTCATACGATCCTGTTTATTTTCTTCACAGTGCATATCACTTAGTACAAAATTTAGCATGCTCTTCTCCTACCAGTAGATTATCAATTCCATGAGGAAGACATCTTGTCTGTTTTGTTTACTGCTATACCCCTCTGTACAGAACAGGCCTGGCACACTATAGGAATTTATTTGATAACAGTTATATTTTAATATTCTACTTTTGTGCCTAGAAGTTCTAACAAAAGGAAGAGCAAAAAGCTTTAATGGAGATTTTACTGATTCTTTACTCCAACTATTTTATAACTTGAGCCCAATTAACATTCATAGGGTCATAATTACCTCTTCTCCTAAGTGGTCAACTCCATGGTTATAGAGTTCCCCCACATAATGCCTTCTAACAACATCTTCACTAACTTGAAGGTGATGGGCTAAATCCACGGCTAGAACTGGCCAATCTTGGTCTTTCCCAAAAGGAGTGGTCATTGCTTCTTCTGAGGAATCTTTGTCCTTTGCACCTGAATGCTGGGCCTGGACAGCTGCACTAACAACTTTCAATAAGAACTTGGAAATGGAAAAAGAGATACAGCAATGTCTTGTTAGTGTGTTTCATTAAAAAATACTTAAAAGTAATTGTTGGTTTTTCTGTCAATTATAGTGAGTCACTATGAAAAAAGGAAAACATACCAGCTCTCAAGAATACTTTGAAAGTGATCATCTTTTTAAAGGCCAGCGAGATTTTTGCTTTACTGTTTTCCAAGAAACAAAAAAATCTAGTAACTGCAATTTACCTGTTGTCGTACAGAAATAAAATTTGGATCCATTTCCCCACTAGGTAATAACTGAATTGAAGTTAGGTCTTTGAAAAATGCATTTTTTCCCTAAAAAGAAAGAGATCAAGAAAACTGATGAGTGTGGATTATTATGGGTGAACAAAGGGAAAGATGAAAAAGACTAAAGTCATTTAACCAGGAATAACTCACAGCTAATTTTTATTTTCTCTCTAAAAATAAGGTTTTAGAATTTTATTAATTTTTATCTCAATTATCTAGTATGTGGCAGGCAGGCTTTCAGTCCCCAGTGATCCCCTCCTGATATTCATGCCTTGTATGACCTCCTCCCCTTGAATCCACATGGGCTGGTGACTTGCTGCTTGCAAACAGAATGCGGTAGTGGTGGTAGCACAGAAATTCCAAGATTAGGCTCCAAAAGACTGCTTTTGCCTTGGGTGCTCACAGTCATCCTCACCTGTTCTGAAGGAAGCCCAGCTGCCAGGCTGCGAGTGCCCTGTGGAGAGGCACATGTTGCAGAGGACTGAATCTTGCCAACAACCATGCTTGGAAGTGAATCACCCTCTCCTCACTAAGCCTCTAGATGAGACCAGCTGAGCCTTCAGAGGAGACCACAGCCTGGGCCAACACCCCAATTACAGTCTCTGGAGAGACTTTAAGCCAGAGGCACCTACATAAGGGGAACCCAGATACCTGAACCACAAACACTGTGAGATAATGTTTGTTGTTTTCAACCACTAAGTTTTGGGATAATTTGTCACAAAGTAATAGATAACTAACCCACAGTGTGTACTCTGAGTCCTTTTAAAAACACTTGTTGAATTGTTTAAAAACACCTTGTTTAAGAGAATAGATGCATGTCTGAAGAGTCAATACAGAATATCAGAAAACAGGAGTGCAGAAGTTCCTTGAAAGGAAATTTCTGCTTATAATATCTTCAAACTCAACATGTCCAAAAATGTTCTAAATGGGCTTACTTGTAAATGACAGCCCAGTTCCCCAAGCTTGAAATTGGACTGAATTGTAACTCCTTCCATCTTCTGCAGCCCTATACCCAGTAGGTGTCATTAGGTTACTGATTCCTCCAAATCCCTTCATGATTTTTATGACCTTCCCCCCAAGTCCACATCTTCACCAACTCCTGACTCTCAGTGGTTTCCCAAACTCTCTTCACTATTTCCTCCAGTCTTTTCTGCATACTGCTGCCATGTAACTTTTCTTTAACATCTTTTTAATTATAAATGCATCAGACATTTAATGAGCTCCTATTATGTGCCAGGCATGGTACACAGACATGGGAACATAGTAAAGAGGTGCCAAGTTCAGGGAACACAAAGACTTTGAACAGAAGATGACACTTAAGGAATAACATGAAAAACAAACAGGAACTGGCTGTACAAAATAGTTGCCTGTGAAAACCAAACACCCCAAAAAAAGAAGTGTTGATAAAAACACATGATCTCTTGAGGAGTGAGTGTAGCTGACAGTGGCAGCAGCACAGGTGCAGGAGAAGAACAGCTGATGAGGCAGGAGAGGTAAGTGGCGGCCAGGGACGCCTCCTTCCTCCTGGCTCTGGCCGTATGCCAGGGGTTCCATGAGAATGACATTCCAGGTCTGCTGCGCCACCTCATATCACTCCTCCCCAGGATGGACTGGTGAGGTTAGGAGAAGGAGATGAGCATTCTCAACAGTCCCTCGGCCTCCATCTTTGCGGAGGCAGTCTTCCCACAGGGAGAACGCCATCTCTGTTCCTACGGGGCCATGTACCTAGGGGTCCAGCTGGGCCTTTCCTGGAATGTACAAGTCTCTCATGTAAGCCTAAGCTGCGTTCTCCAACCTAGCTTCTATCAGCAAAAAGCTAAGTAGCAAAAGTTGACGTTTTTATCTCCAATAGTCTGAATCCTATGTCTGTCTCTCATTTGGCACCTATGTGGGGAAGACAACGGCTTTACTATCTACAGCAGTCAAATTGGGAAAGTCTTCAACATGTTCTACTAACAAGTTTGAATTTGATCCTGCAGGGGAGCCAAAAACTCTTAGGCATGGAACTAGTATGATTAGACCTCAGTTTTGGGAAGACAGCTGTGGCAGCATGGGATTGGAGAGAGAGAAGCTGGGGGCAAGGCGATTAGAAGAGGCTGTCGTCGTAGCCAAGGGAGAGAGGAGGAGGCCTGGACTAGGGGTGTAGTGATGGAGAGGAACAGACAGATACATTCTACAGAAGATTGTACAAGAATGAATTTACAGCAAAGTAAATGGCTTGAAACAGGGAGTTGAGCCAGATAACTTCAAGGATTCTAGTTGACACCAGTGCACAAATGACAACATAACCAATCAACTAACCAAGCCAGGGAATTTAGGAGGAACAGCTAATCTAGGTCAGGAGCAGAATGGGGTGAGGGTTTGCAGATATATTTTCGATACGAGGTGTTTGAAGTCTCACAGGGCATTCAAAGAGAGATGTTTAACAGAAATATATGCCTCAAAGTCCGGAGACTGGTCAGGCCTAGAGGTATGCAAGAGGGAGAGAATGAGCCTGTCCAGGAGGAATATGGAGAATGAGAAGGGCAAACAGCTGAGAGCACTTCAAGGGAAACCAACATGTAAGGTAAATCAGAAGAACGCAATCAGGTGCAGAATAAGGCAGCTGCAACCCCACAATGAATTATTTCCCATACAAGTCATAAAAATATAAACAACTTCTATTAAGTAAGAAAATCCATGTGATTGTACACCCACAGCTCCAAAATAGCTCTGAAATCCCCTGAGGGTCTTACCTTACTATCAAAAAGTGAAAGTGGCTTCACAGTTCTATTAAGTAAGAAAATCCATGTGATTGTACACCCACAGCTCCAAAATAGCTCTGAAATCTCCTGAGGGTCTTACCTTACTATCAAAAAGTGAAAGTGGCTTCACAACAGGGGATGCCTGAAACCATGGATAGCCCCGAACCTTACACATACTGTTTTCTTCCCGTGCATACATATCTATGATAAAGTTTAATTTAAAAATCAGGCATAGTAAGAGATTAACAATAACTAATAATAAAATAGAATAATTATAACAATTTACTGTAATAGAAGTTATGTGAATGTGATCTATCTCTCAAAATACTATAATATTTTCAGACTGCAGTTGAGCGCAGGTAACTGAAACCATGGAAAGCAAAACCACATGTAAGGGGAGACTACTGTACTATAAATTTCTAATCTGAAGTAGAGAAAAACATGCATCAATAGTAGCATGTTATTCTCCTGTCCACAGTCCAAAGTTTAGCACATTTTATGAAAACTTAGTTTAAACATGCTATCAGACAGTCTGGAAAGGTAAATTAAAATTGGCCGTAGTTCATAACCAGTTTCCTTAATAGAGTATTTTCTTTCCATTTTTATTTCCTGATAGTCATCAAAATGATAAAGGCAAAGTTCACCGCTACTGTTAATAAGGTACTACATACAGCGTAGGATGAGAATGGCTTTGCAATACACACAGCGAAAATTCTAGTTAAGGTAGAGTCACTTACTCTTCGGCATAACCTATCCTTTGGTGCTTTTCCAACCTAACAAAAAAGGACACAAAATGCTGTAATATTTAATAATGTAAATAAAAAGGCATCACTATGTTGAAAAAGAAAGTAAAAAGTAATCAAACTTAAGAAACTATAAATGCAGCAGAAAGTGTGGCAATCTTTCATTAATTAACTGTT